CATTTTGCTCTCAGTTCAGTTAAAAAAAAGCCTGTAAACAAGTGTCTCAAATTTAACTATGGCGAACAGTAAACGTAAAATGTTCTTCATTGATTATAAAATGGGCATAATTAGGAAAATTGAAAATGGATGTAATCAAGCTGATATTTGCAGGGAATATAAACTATCCAAATCTACACTTTGTAACATATGGAAAAATAGGCAATTAACAATTTCTGCTCATGAAAAAGAATTAAATGGCAGAAAAAAGTTGAAAAAAGCAGATCCCAAGGATGCTGAAAAAGCATTACTAAAGTGGTTCAGCATTCAAAGAAGCCGCAATCTTCCAGTATCTGGACAAATGTCGAGGAATTTGCTGAGCGATTTTATTAAACTGCTTTTATGTGCTCGAATGGCCAATTCGAAGATCTGAGAGGCCAATTCATCTGGCGTATATCTTCAATTTCGAGAAAATTGTGAGAGCAAACAGCTCTAAGTGAGTGTCTATTGTTGATCAAAGCAATCATAGAGCTTTTAGATTTTACTCATATGCTGCACACTAGCTAATTTGCCGCTCTAAAGAACATAGAAAGATTTATAATTACTTAGTATAATGCCTGCCAAGATTATCAAACTTCCTCTGCTATAGCAGTTGATTTTTTTTAGTTGGTAGGTAGATAGTGAGTGCCTGGTTTGAATAATTCATAATTATATAAGAAAAGAACCAGGAATTTGATGCCTTAAAGTTCAATGTTAACCTTTACAGAATATAATCGGGTGGCGATTTCATTTTAATGGAACTTGGGCAGCCATCAAGCTTACCTAGTTTAAACTTTAAAAAGAAGGGATATTTGTTGAATCAATTTTCCAGCCAGATATCAACTTAATAGTGTATTAAAATCTGGTCTGTTATAATGGAGATAGGCTACCAAATATGAAAATTCTCTTATTTTTGAACACTAATGCATTTATCTTAAAATTTAAAGAAATGATTAAAGCAATTAACCTTTTAAAATTGACTAAAATGTAAACAAATATCATTTATCTAGCTTGAAAAATTTAGTTAAAAAGAAATTATTCAATGCCTCAAATCATAGTAAATCTATATTTTCAAGCAAACCTGTGATCCTTTTTGCAACTTTAGTGTTCTTTCCTTTGCTTTAAAAACTAATGAAATGGTACAAAAAAATTACAAAAAAAAAATTATAATGTGAGCACAACATGAATTTAAAATGAATGTTTCAAAGAAATCATGCAAAGAGAAAAACTTACCCCACAAGTAATTTCAGATTTCAAACTAAGAATATCTAAGGTTTCTAAATTAAATTTAATCTTCCTAATTGTTTAAGATAACAAATAATTCCAATTGAAAGAATAAACTCTAAATGGTGGTAAATTTATGGAAAGATATATTAAAGAGACAAGAATTTTTTTAATTAAAAGAAAAAATTTTTCTTAACAACAAAAGTAATAAAAAAATTTTAAGCATTTAAAAACATATTTAATAACAAATATTTTTTTTAATTGTGTTTTACCAAAAGATTTTAGAGATGTTTATGTTAAAAGATAATGGTAAGAACATATTGCTTTTATAATTAGATGAGGTTTATTTCTTAGTATGATTAGTTTTCAAATAAAATAGTTGTTTCGCAAAATAGCTGTAATGTTAATCAGGATTTTTTTTTATTCTTATTTATTATTAACTCAAATAAGAATTTAAAAATTCAGAAAGAAAAAAGGTCAAGTATTTATTCTGCAACTTTGCAATAAATCTTTAGAATAATAGAAAAAGTGGGTTGGTAGATATATGAGCATTGATGAAACATATTATGTTGAAAAAATTTCACAGTACTTAGGTTCCTCCTTATGAAACTGTTGAAAGTATTAAAAATTTGGTTACTTTTAATTTTTCAAGAATTTATGGATTTTTATTTTTAGTGTAATACAAAACAAGAATTTTCTTTTACATTTAATAAATGACAAGACTTTTGTACTAATAATAATGTGCTCTAAGATTCATTTTTCTCAAAATTTCATTTTGATATTTTCCTCCTTTAATTTGTTCCTTGCATTTGTTTTCTTCTCTTACATACGATGATAAAGGTCACTATTCATTGCAATAATAGATTTGTTACAAAATGCTTTGTATTCGTTTAATTGCATCAAAATGAAAGGATATTATATTAGAAGCAATTTCCTTTTAGCACTGACAAAAAACAATATTTTAACAATATTTATATTATCAGAATTGTGTTTATTACTTTAAATTTAAATTATTTGGCTGAAATTTGAGACAAGTACCAAAATTTTTATTCGCATTATGTTTAAAATAATATAACAGTAAAATAATGATCATAGCAAAAAAATTATTTGATTGACTTAATGTTTAAATTTTAACTGAAAAACATCTACATTATGGTAAACGAAAAAAAATAACATCACTGTAGAAAAGAATCTTGTATAAAGTTTCATCTGAAAGGTCCTGTATAGTCTTTGTAAAAACAAGATTTGTAAATGCTTAATATAGCTTTTTCTATTGCTTATTCATCAATATCTTAAATTTAACTTTAGCATCCCTTCAATTTTTGTATTTTCTTCTTTTAAAATGTCCCATTAAAATGTTTACATATTACACCTTTTTACAATGCTTGTAATGCACAATCTCAAATGAGCAAAATACAAGCAATGGTATAGGTTTGCTTTAAACAAAAATAAATGTTGTGATTATTTTCTGAAAATAGTAACTGCAAGGTATCTGCTACATTTTAGATTTTCAAATTCATGACTAATTCCAAGAACTTTTCATGACTTAACGAAGTTACTATTTTCTCCTGAAAAAAACAGAACAATAAATTTAAAAAGCATTATAATAACATTAATTTAAATGATAGGTATAACCAAAACAGTTATACTCTGCATCTTCATATTTATAGATTTTAAATTTAAAAAACATAAAAATAATAGTTGAAACAATAAAATGGCTGAAAAAAATGCAAAAGCAAATAATTTTTTTTTCTACAGAATTATAATCTAAAGATACTTTGCTTGTTCATCGGAAAGGAAAGAAATACTCCTGATTTTTCCATTCCAATTTTGGAATTAAAAAAAATTCGCCAATGACTGGCTTGATTCAGCAAGAATTTTAAATTGACAAAATAAAAAAAATAAATAATAATAAAAATTCTGAAATCACAGAAGTTTAAAAGATAATTCACTCTAGAAATGATGTTTTTTCTTTCATTTTTTGAAAGAACACCATAATTTTTAAAGAACATGATTAAAACATTTTATATTTTAATAAAACATGACTGTGAGTGGGAATTCTTTTACAAATTCAGATATTCAGAACACCATGAAATTTGGGGGAGGGGAACGGACCACATATCAACAGTTAGAGGCCACAGGTTGTGCATCCCTAAGTCAGAACATCATATTCTTAATAAGTTACTGTCAGTACCTTCATTCTTTAAAAGAAAGAAATGTCAACAAATTGTAGACTTGATTTGAAAAAACAGATTCTAAAGCAAATGTATAAAGGTTTGAAGATATACTAATATCCTACTAAAAGTAGAATGCTTTCTTCTACTCTTAAAATATTTTGTGAACTGCAAATCAATAACACAGATTTGCAAATTTTACAACTAAGACCTTGACATAAATTTATGTTTATAATAAAACAAAAACTTTTTTGTGATGCATATTTTTTTAATAAAATAAGGAATGTTTTATTATTATTAAAAGTTTTGAGTTAGAGGTTCTAGAATGATGCCAGAGAACATTACCTAAACAAATCAAACCATAACCATAAACAGAAAATTTGAAAGAATATTTAGAAGAAACAACAAAAAAAAAAAACTTTGATTGATGAACTTTTGACTTTTCGGAACACATGACTTAAATATCTCTTAAAAAAATTAAAAGTTAAATCAAAAGAAAAACTTTCTGAAAATAAAACACTGAAATGAAATATAAATATTCACTTATTGTTCTGAACAAATAATTCTTTTATTAATATAGTGATAATCAAATATTGTTCTCATTAAGTTTTAAGAACTACAAAAATACCTTTGAAAAATAATTTTATCCATTAAGAAAAAAAGCTGAACAAATTCATAATAGCAACCATGCTATGTCGTATCTATTTACAAAATATATGACTGTAGAAGAAGCAAAATATTTGCAAACCAGTAAAACAGTATCCTTCTTTTTAATTTGTAATTTATGAACATGGGTGCAATGTAATACACTGCTGGACAATTGCTAAGGACGGATAACACTGTCATCCATAGCAACCATAAAATTAAAGGAAGCAAAATATGGACAATTAGAATAAGTGCGGGATATAGTAAGAAGAGCCTATCTCATCTCTATTTCCAATATAAGAATTTTAACCAATAGAATATAATTATGACAGTGATAAAGTTTTGTTTTGCACTGACAAACACTTTCGATTCCAGGTGTTTTAATTGAACTATATACAGAGTCCATTTTAGATTTCATACAGAAGGTAAGTAAATACAATATGAAATTTAATGACCAATATTATAACATGGGATTTATATATAGTATTATTATTTGATTTATTTTTCTGGTTTCTAATGTACAGTACACATAAGATTTAGGCATTTTATCTTTTACAAAATTAAAACAATGGTTTGCATATCTCCAGTATAATATTTCTATTTTGTGTTTATTAGTACACCTGAATTTCTATCTTAAATCTCTATCTTTGAAATGCAAAAATTAATAAATAAAGTAAAATTAAATAATTTTTGAATAAAATTTTTCTGCACAATTCTAAAATAAAATTTAAAAAAAAAACACTATTTCAAGAGAACTTTAATGTTTCCTCAGCTGGAACTGCTATTAAATCCTTCCTTACTCATACCCCANTTAAATATCATTTTTTTGTACAATTCTAAAATAAAATTAAAAAAAAAAACACTATTTCAAGAGAGTTTTAATGTTTCCTCAGCTGGAACTGCTATTAAATCCTCCCTTTCACATACCCTGCAAAGGCAATCTGCTCTCCTTTGCTGACTGATGGGAAAATTCTTAGTTTCCAATGTCAAAACAGAGAAAAGCATGGAAGGAAGAGGACATGGAACAAGGTTTCTCAAGAAGGACTTATTCAAACTCACTTTTGAATGTTGGAATCAGCTCAAGAAAACCGAAGCCAGAGATAAATATGATTACTTTGATATATGTCAGATGAAGGTTTAAAAAGAAATTAGTATCAAATCTCTTCATCTATTCTTTTTGCATTGTAAATATTTTAATTTGTAAAGTTCAAATAAATATCAACGTGTAAATAAGTTTATATAATTACTTTCATGTCAGAACAATTTATGGAGTTATTCTAAAAACATTCTCTACAATTGTTATTCTAAAAACAATTTATGGAGTTTTTCTAAAAACATTCTCAACAATTATTATTCTAAAAACAATTTATGGAGTTATTAATGTACCTTTCCTATAAATGGACAACCCTTGTAAGCAGACAATTTTTTTTTGGCTTTGGACAATTTTGTCCCAAGAGTGTCCACTTAACCAAGGTTTCCTTGTAAATCATAAATTAACTATACCTTGAAAAATTGAACAATTGCAAGAAAACAAGCTAACTCCTGGACCAAACATAGGTACAAATATACCTTCATAGAAGACATTTTAAATGAAATTTATGTTATATAGAAAGGAATCCACAAAAAACGCTTAAGCTTAGCTCAAGGGCAACTCTAATTCATAATTTGTCTATCACTGAAAATATTTTAAATCAGTACTGTGAACAGCTTGAACCAGTCATTACCGAGACTAGGATTTACCAATGGTTTTTACTCTCATTGTCATTTTCTTATTTTTTGTCACTTTACAATATTTAATATTTTTGAGATTATTAAAAAATTACTGCATGCCAAAAACTTTTTACAATATAAAGTAAAAGTTATATATAAAGTAAAAGTAGTTATTTTTTAATAAAAAAAGAATTTAGAGGAATATAATTTTAAATAATTTAATTTATATGATAAAGATTGAGATAAGGTACTGACAACTTAGTTTTTTTAACTGGATTACTAAGGATTACTATTAAGGATTAACTGGATTACTATTTGCTTTTGTTTTGAGAAGTAATAAATTTTATTATTCAACAGAGATTATTTTCCGCAAGTGTCTGAAATTAAGAAATAATAAATTTCTTTAAATGTTNATTTTTAAAGTTCAAATAAATATCAATGTGCAAATAAGTTTATATAATTATTTCTATGTCATTGTTCTAAGAACAATTTATGGAGTTATTCTAAAAACATTCTCAACAATTGTTATTCTAAAAACAATTTATGGAGTTATTAATGTACCCTTCCTATAAATGGAGAACCCTTGTAAGCAGACAATTTTTTCCCTTTGGACAATTTTGTCCCAAGAGTGTCCACTTAACCAAGGTTTCCTTATATATCATAAATTAACTATACCTTGAAAAATTGAACAATTGCCAGAAGACAAGTTAACTCCTGGACCAAACATAGGTACAAATATGCCTTCATAGAAGACATTTTAAATGAAATTTGTGTTATATAGAAAGGAATCCACAAAAAACTCTTAAGCTTAGCTCGAGGGCAACTCTAATTCATAATTTGTCTATTACTGAAAATATTTTAAACCAGTAATGTGAACAGCTTTGAACCAGTCATTACCGGGACTAGGATTTGCTAGTGGTTTTCCTCTCATTGTCATTTTCTTATTTTTTGTCACTTTACAATATTTAATATTTTTGAATTTACTAAAAAATTACTGCATGCCAAAAACTTTTTACAATATAAAGTAAAAGTGGTTATTTTTAATAAAAAAAAGAATTTCGAGGAATATAATTTTATATAAATTAATTTATATAAAATTAAGATTGAGACAAGGTACTTAGTTTTTTTAGCTGGATTACTAAGGAATGATTTGCTTTTGTTTTGAGAAGTAATAATTTTTACCATTCAACAGAGATTATTTTCTGCAAGTGTCTGAAATTAAGAAATAATAAATTTCTTTAAATGTTTCATACAATTTTTATAAATTAAAAGCAACTTTATCAAAGAAAAAGTGTTAATATTAAAAAAATTCCAAAATTTCAAATATTGCCTGGTATACAGTTTTTTTTAATAGGATAAAATCAAAAATTAAAATGAAATTAATTTTTAATAATAATGGAAAATGTAGAATAAAATAATTTTTGAAAAAGGATACTTATTATTTTTATTTTACAAAAAGTAAACATTTTCAAAGCGTGTAGTTAAAAAAAAAAATTTAGAAAATAAAATTTGTAACAATTAGATAGAATAGGTATTATTTTCATTTTAAAACAACATACTAGTTTTGGCTCATAAAATTAATTAATAACTAAATTAATTAGTTTTGAAACTCACTAATTTCCATTTCACACATTTATTAAGTTTATCTTTAATCTCATATTATCCAAGATGGTAAAAATTAATACTGTGGTAGATTTATAGCTTAGTTTATTTTCAATTAGTATGTCTTCTGTTTTAAATCACTAGAGAAATGGAAAAAATTAGAAATTTTCTCCCCTGCACAAAACTCCTCAGTGATCCAGTAGTTGAAAACAAGAATTTCATTTTTTTCCCATCAAATATTTAAAGATGAATTTTAAATTTTTATATCCTTGTCAGCCTACTGTTTCTGAATTTCTTATTCGCCTCTGTGGATAAATTTATCCTTAATAAACAAAATCAACATATTTTAATAGAGCACACCTTGAAGTTACAGTTTCCAGTACAAGGACAGAAATATGGTATGTCTGCTTTTCAAGAGAATAGTTAGTCAATTAGTAGATTAATTTTCTTGTTATGACAGGAATTCTGCAGAGTGATTATCTTGAAATATCTAATTTTATTTATCAAAAAACCATTAGAAATGTTAGAATTATTATATCAAATAATTATGTTCTTACTCTCCCTTTAAAGTCATTAATTTTGAATGAAATAAGCAATAGGAAAATACATTTTGACATACAAATTAAATTACATATAATTTGGAAACTCATATTAACTTAACTCTTAAAGAAAACACAAAGGTTTTAAAGAATTTAAAATTAAAAGAAAGCATCTTCAATTAATAAAATTAAGAAATTTTGCACAGATTAAAATAAAATATATGAGTAGTACGCACTTGACTTTTACTGCCAGTCGAACATGATGAATATCTCCTTCAATTTTTAAAACGTCTTTAAACTGTAAAAGAAAAAATTATTTTAATTATTTAAAGGTTTCACAAATTTTGGGGGAATATTTCTTCCTTAATACTATTTCTTTTGCTAATTACATGAAAAAAACTTTCGAACGCAAAGAAGACTACAGATTAAATCTTAAATAATTAATAAATGAATTAATTAAATAAAAAGTTTACTTTAATTTGAATATGATTTTAAACCAATCAGTTGGAAACAAAAGTTTCGAAAGAGTTCTATTTGTTATTATCGAAAAATGTACTTTACATTCTGGCACTGAAAAAATTTGCTATTTTTAACTCTGTCTTCTGCGTGAAAATTCAATCATTAGATCAAAAGTTATTAATGCATTAGCTTTGTGCATTCATTAGAAACCAGATAAAATACATTAAAAAAAATTGCTTATTTAAAAGAAATGCCAGATTTAGCTGCAATCATGACAAAGTCAAAATCTACGCTGTTAAAAATTTGGAGAACTTTACAGATTTGGTTATTAATCTCTGGAACTTAATGAACTGGTAAATTTTAATGAAATTCGTTTTGAATAAGTTGATATCATACAGTCAAACCCCGCTATTGTGAACACGGTTTATAGTGAACTCCCGGATATAGTGAACGAAATATTCGGCTCCATGCCCTGCTATACCCGTATAATGTTATTTTTTGTAGATATAGTGAACCAAAAAAGTGATTAAGTTGGATAAAATGAACTTTTTCTGTCTTCGACTGATTTTTTTCTTAATTTTTTGTAATAATTTTAAAATTTCTACTTCAAAATAAATACATATACCGATTTTTAAAGCCAGCTGTAGAGGGGAAGGTAGCGGTAAGCATTTTTTTCTTGTTTGCTTCTTTAATCTTACTTTCCCATCCCTAAACAAATCAAGTAGATGTTTCCTACCCAGGCAGATGATGCACCTGTAAGGTGTCAGTGGGATCAATATGCATTTTCTGTCAGAGGGAAAGAGTAATTATTCATTATTGGTCAAAGGGTTGGACACTAATATGTGTTGATAAGACCCTCATTTCAACTCCATTTTGCTCTCAGTTCAGTTAAAAAAAGCCTGCAAACAAGTGTCTCAAATTTAACTATGGCGAACAGTAAACGTAAAATGTTCTTCATTGATTATAAAATGGGCATAATCAGGAAAATTGAAAATGGATGTAATCAAGCTGATATTTGAATATAAACTATCCAAATCTACACTTTGTAACATATGGAAAAATAGGCAATTAACAATTTCTGCTCATGAAAAAGAATTAAATGGCAGAAAAAAGTTGAGAAAAGCAGATCCCAAGGATATTGAAGAAGCATTACTAAAGTGGTTCAGCATTCAAAGAAGCCGCAATCTTCCAGTATCTAAACAAATGTTGAGGAATTTGCTGAGCGATTTTATTAGACTGCTTTAATGTGCTCAAATGGCCAATTCCAAGATCTGAGTGGCCAACTGCAAACAAGTGTCTCAAATTTAACTATCGCGAACAGTAAACGTAAAATGTTCTTCATTGATTATAAAATGGGCATAATCAGGAAAATTGAAAATGGATGTAATCAAGCTGATATTTGCAGGGAATATAAACTATCCTAATCTACACTTTGTAACATATGGAAAAATAAGCAATTAACAATTTCTGCTCATGAAAAAGAATTAAATGGCAGAAAAAAGTTGAGAAAAGCAGATCCCAAGGATGCTGAAGAAGCATTACTAAAGTGGTTCAGCATTCAAAGAAGCCGCAATCTTCCAGTATCTGGACAAATGTCGAGGAATTTGCTGAGCGATTTTATTAGACTGCTTTAATGTGCTCGAATGGCCAATTCCAAGATCTGAGTGGCCAATTCATCTGGCGAATATCTTCAATTTCGAGAAAATTGTGAGAGCAAACAGCTCTAAGTGAGTGTCTATTGTTGATCAAAGAGCTTTTAGATTTCATAGAGCTATGATTTCATCAATCATAGAGCTTTTAGATTTTACTTATATGCTGCACACTAGCTAATTTGCCGCTCTAAAGAACATAGAAAGATTTATAATTACTTTGTATAATAATGCCTGCCAAGATTATCAAACTTCCTCTGCTATAGCAGTTG